GATACTGACTCCAGAAGGACAAAGGATGCCTCTGCATGGAGGGAGTAATATCGTACGTGGACTTCCATCAGGAAACACAGCTAACAGAAAGCTGATGGCCACCGCTGCTCTCTACCAGTGTGACGGCTGCCGGCCCTGCTCTTTCCTTCTGGGTCCCTTGCTTTTTTTCCAACCCTGTCCCCATCAGTGCCATCGGGCAGGGCTCCCAAAGTGGAGCACTTTGAGAAGACTTGGCAACCCTCATGCCCCTCGATGCTTCCATTTCGCCTTTATGTGCACTTCTACATTTTCAACAAAGAAAGGGGGCCAGGAAGCAATGTGAGAACTGAATACAAGACTGGGTTACAATAAAAATGAGAGAATTCAAAAGCCGGGTTGCCCGTTCCTTCGGCAGTAGAACTGCTCTTGAAAGGGCCTTGAGCTCTACTTCAGTGAAAATTAAAATGAATCATAGGCAGTCTTCAAAGAAAAGGGATCAAATTATGTACTTACCTATGGGGTATTGATATAAACATAGATTTAGATAGATGCGTTATACAGTTCATGCATCCATATTAAGTACACATATGACTAATCCCTATACAGAGGGCCAAACCCTAACAGAGGAGATTTATTCAGGACTCTGGAATTATGGTAACTAGATATTCAACCAAAAGCCAAAAGAATGGTGTCAAGACACAGAAAGAAGCATAGAGAAATGGACTAGGGTAAATTCTACCCCTCGACATTTTTATTGAAACAGGGCTGGTAGTCTATTAGACGTGCCAACAAGAGGTTTAAAGCGTATCAAGCGATAATGAAACATAATTTCCAGGCCAACACCAAGATGGGACCAACCATCTGGCGCTTCTGCCAGCCTCAAAGCTGGACAAAGCCACATATTCTGAGGCCGTACATTCAAGAGGCAGACAGGCAGAAATTGAATATGCTCATGTGCAAAATGGAAAGCCAAAGTGAACCCTCCAAACTTCAACAACAATAATACTTTAAAACTGTATGTGAAAACCTATATATCCTAAGACAAAACCTGGACAAAATTACTTCCTGTCTATGACCATTACTTAACTGGAATAATTTTTTTAAGTATAGAAGCTTAGAAAAACTCCAAGATCTTTCTTTAACCATTCACGTACAAGCGAAAGTCGCTAGTTGTGTCTGACTGTTTGAGACCCCATGAACTGTGTATACAGTCCATGGAATTCTCCAGGACAGAATACTAGAATGAGTAGCCTTTCCCTTCTCCAGGGGATCTTCCCGGCCCAAGGATCAAACCCAGGTCTCCAACACGGCAGGCAGATTCTTTGCCAGCTGACTCACCAGGGAAGCCCAATTACATACCAGTTGGCCTCCAAATATTTACTGTTTTCCAATTACAAGACTAATGTGGATGGAGTCGAAAATTCTCTGTGGTCTTTCATTCTACCAGTTAAAATTAATCAGCTGTCAACTTTGGCTTCAGCACTGGGTAAGTAATGGTGAACAAGATCATTATGAACTCTGGAGCTCACAGTCTGGCCTCTGACTTCTAGATTACACCGTCAGGATTCAGTTACCATGAATTGACAGAACAGATTTTTTTTAAGAAAACAACCTACAAAGCTTACAGTCTTGCAGTCACATAGACCTACCTGAAAAGAACGCAGCACTGCTGTATTCTAAGATCTAGGTTTAACTCCCCCCTTTGGAATTTAAGGATCACCTTTCCATGGAAAGCAATGCCATTGATGATGTTTGGGTTCTAGGGTTGACCTATAAAGCTTGAGTTGCCCTGCATACAGCTGCAGTATGATTTTAAGAGATTTCTGGGTTGGGTTACCCTGGACCCATCAAATCAACAGTATTACACTGTAATTTACAGTCTCAACACTGCTACCATGGACTGAAACAGTGGAGGCTGAAGCATGCAATGCTGGGATGGGTGAAAAGCTAGAAATACCTAAGGATGGCCTGGCTGCCACCCTTCAGTCTCAACCTATCTCCAGGACAAGGGAATATGAATGGGGGTAGAATGTCCCTGAAGGTACTTAGAAGGGCAAAAGTTTCATTTGGAACAGCTCATTTGCACATCAGCCATTGGCCTCTCATAAAGAACCAAGGCATTGGTTCTGGCCAAGCCTACATACATTTCTTACTGCTGTCACTCAGAAACCACTAGTGATGTGTTTTCTGTTTATTTCAGGGTATAACAGTGTTTTTACATATTCTCTCCTTTTTAAGGTGCATGTTTTTTCAACAGTAATTCAAGTTCTAATAGCATTTAAAGTACATTTACTTATTTTTATTGAAGTATAGTTGATTTACAACTATGCTTTCAGGTTTACTGCAAATAAATACACATACACACACACACACACACACTTATATATACAGTATATACACAAGTATGTTTGCATGCATGTTCAGTCACTTCAGTCTAGTCCAACACTTTGCAACCCTATGGACTGTAGCCCTCCAGGCTCCTCTGTTCATGAGATTTTTTTTTTTAGGCAAGAATACTGGAGTGGGTTGCCATGCCCTTCTCCACAGATCTTCCCCACCCAGAGATCAAACCTGCATCTCCTACGTCTCCTGCATCACACTGAGCCTCCTCAAAAGTCCATATATAAGGGGATATATATTCTTTTTCAGCTTCTTTTCTATAGTAGGTTATGACAAGAAATGGAATACAGTTCCAAGCTATACAAGAGGTCCTTTTAACTTACATTAATTGCTAAACACCATGTTTTATGCAGTTTCATTACATGAACCTCATCTTCTTTTCTAGATCCCCAAGTTATGGCTCAGCATCTGACCATAAAACAAGAACCTCAACTCAGGCCCATTTGTTCAAACTATGGCACAGATAGACATGTAGTTAAAAGTAGAGAAGGAAGCTATTCTAAACAAGAACCTGAGTCTCTGAGACAAATTTTTAAAAACAATTTTATGTCTAAAAATAAGGGAGCAAAACATAATCTCTAGTAGTTACTGCTTGAAGAAAGCCATCTATTGGCTCTGTGAAAAGGTTAAGTAAAACTGTCTCTTACCAATCATTAAAGGTACATTTAGGTTATACCTGAAAAACTGTAGGTGCTTCGCAGTGGTCATCCCAAATTATACAGGTAAGATACATCTTTAGTCTCAGTGCTGGAGTCACTATATGAAACAGGATCTTCTGTGAAACAAAACATCTGCCTTTCATTCTTCTCTGTCACTACACTACAGAGCATGTTCACATTTACAGACCATTCTTCTGTTATTTTCTTAACACAAAGAAATGAAGAGTGACTCCATAATATTGCTCCTACAGTTTCCAAAGCCTTTCTGAGCTCCCAGGAGGACCTAAGACATATCCTTTCTCTGAAGATCTCATAAGATGAACGCTTCCAACACTACCCTCAAGGCAGAAAAGTGATAGAGCTAGAATCTCTGTCCAGTAAAATTTCTCCTTGGGGATATTCACCACAAGTGCTTCTAAGGAAAAGAAGCATCTGATCAAGATGAGGAGAACCAAATCCCATGGCAGGTGGCTGACACACACAGAGGAAAACCCTAGCCCAGACCAGGGCTCCAGCTGAATCCAGGGACACAGAAAGGTCCTCAAAGCCGTGGGTGGGTCTGGTTTGCAATGCTTATCCCACAACTTGTCACTCTTGGAAGGAGACCTGGGAGCCCATGTGTATCACATAGAAAGGTGACTCTCCGAGAATGTTTGGGAAAAACAGCATCAGCATTCCTTAGAAACTGTTAGAAATGCCAATTTTCAGGCCCACAGCAGATCTATTAAATCAGAAACTCTTGGAGTAACCCAGAAAGTCTGTGTTTTCATAAGCCCTCCAGGAGTTTCTGAGGCAAAGTCAAGTTTGCAAACCACCACCGTAGGACTAATAAAAAAATCATTTCAGTACAGCCCCCTCCACCATCACCACCACTCAAGCCTTATTCATAACTGCAGAATGAGAGATCTTTCCTCCTTCAGAAGAAAGAGGCCAAAGGGGGAGTCAGGAGGAGGTTTAGCCATTATATTTAAGAACTTTACTGCGGTTCCTCCTCATTCATTTCAGGCATGGGCATCTTGTTCATGGGCACACACAAAGAGAAAGGAGAAAGCATCAAAATGGATCTGATCCACCTCAGAGCCTGCTATACACTGGACAACCTACTGCTACTTAAAAGTCATTTCCAAGTAAGAAGGCAACAATAACAGTAAATGTGATGAGCAATATAGATCAAGAAAACCCACCCAGCTGTCTCCCCAACACAATTAGACACCACTAACTATGGTGTCACAGCTTTCCCCAGCTAGTGGCATTTATAAGAGACCATGCAAAACTCACCAATAACATGAGTCAACACATAGGTTTAAATATCAGAGCAAATGCTTCTTAATCACTAAAACTCTTGCCTACTTATATCCCCCCAAAATGAATTTTCAATTTTCTAAAAGAGACCAATAGTCTATTGTGGGCAACACAAACCCTAATTTTTAATCAAGCACTAGGAACTTTTCCACTAAAATAAAAAATGACTCATTCACAATGCTTCAATGTACCTCCAAAAGCTGTTCTTATTTTGCTTCCTAACACTTTAAATTTCAAAAGATGAGAATCTGAAAATGTAGCAGCAACACCAAAAGCATGCCACGGAAATTCTAGGAGTCAAATGTACAACAGAAAGGACCTTTTTTACACAAAATATGTGTGTCTGTCACTTGCCTACAGGCACTAGCCTGCCTTTCTGAAGTAAAAGCAAAACTCAAACATAATTAGTCACTTGAAAACTCAAGAAACCAGTTCCATGTCTTCTGGGACAGTTGTCCTCATTGAAAGTGGGTAGTGCTGAGTAATCAACATGATTTTGCTCTGTCTTGATTTGTAGTATCATAGCTCTGTTGCTGTTTTCTCAGCCTTCAGTCCTAGTCATTGTAAATCTAGCTGCTTCCTTCTTTAGTGGTAATTAGCATTAGTCATAAGCCAAAAATGATTCCACATAAGTAGGAAAATAAACACAACCCTTCTTACCTTTCATGCCAAACTTGGAGTGTCTTGCCAACTTCAGCAGAAATAGCATTACCAGTAGACAAAATCCCACTACAGATGCAATTACCACCACAGCATAGACCTAGAGAAAAGAAGAGGGCAGTCATGACCTTGCTAATTAGTTCCTTGTACCCTGAAGCAGCTGCTGGAGACAGTTAACATTTATTATCCCTATTCTACAAGTGAGAAACTGTAAGTTAAAGCTAATAAAAATATTCATCCAATTGATATTGTATAGGTAAACTTATACTAACACATCATATATTATATAATATATAAATAATAGGTATTTTATCTATCTACCTACCTATGTACCTACATACCTATCTAGAAAGAGAAGACAGTGAATATAAAACATGAATGACAAAGTCGTAATAAATTTTGAAGCTGCTGAAAGATACAGGGAAGTTCATTTCTCTACTCTCTCTACCACTGTACATGTTTGAGAGTTGTCCATAATAAACATTTTTTTTTTTTAAGTTGGCTATTGTTGCTCGTAGGAAGTCAGGATGCCTGGAGCAGTGAGCAGGTCTAGAAGGGAGCAGGAAAGAACTGGAGAGTGGGCTCAGCCTGTGAAGGCTCATGGGGTTGTAGACTTGACATGTGACCTTTTTTGTATGTATGAGAAAGATCAATACAGGGTTGTTTTTTTTTTTTTTAAATTTAAAAGTGTAATTGCAAGTTGTGAATCACACAAGAGAGACAGTAAATGCAGATCTTTGTGAATCTTGTCACAGCTCCGAGCTGGAAATCACAAAGGCACAAGTGCATAATGCTAAGCACACACTAATAATTTAGAAACAAAGATGGACATAGGGTTATCTTCCATTTTTGTTATTCACCCCAAAGTCCCACTTCCAAAATATGTTTGTTTTTATAAACCAGGAGTTGGCAAACTTTTCCTGTAAAGCCTCATATTGTAAATACTTTAGGCTTTGAGGGCCTAGAGACTCTGCTGCAACTAGTCAATTCCACTGGTGCAGCGTGAAAATAGACACAGACAATATGCAAACAAATGGGCTGGTCTGTGCTCCAGTAAAACTTTATTGACAACAACAGATGGATAGCTGTATCTGGGTATAGTTTAGTTGGAACTTAATTAGCACTCTGTGGAAAGAAGTGCTTGATGGTTAAGGTGATTTTGAAGTGAAATGAAGTGAAAGTTGCTCAGTCATGTTCAACTTTTTTGCAACCCAATGGACTATATGGTCAATGGAATTCTCCAGGCAAGTATACTGGAGTGGATAGCTGTTCCCTTCTCCAGAGGATCTTCCCAACCCAGGGATCAAACCCACATCTCCTGCATTGCAGGCAGATTCTTTCCCAGCTGAGCCACCAGGGAAGCCCAGGGATGCTGCTAAACATACTGAAGTGCCCGGGACAGTACTCCACAAGAAAAATTATCCATTGATAACAATGTTAATAGCACTAAGGGCAGTGTAGTCTTACTTGGTGCCAAAATAAATGCTAAATTTTCAAAAAGTGACTGATGTGTCTGCCTCATCTTGGAATGAGGATGAGGCTGACAGAAGTCCCAGTCAATACCTGTAATGAAACAAGAAATAAGCTTTTATTGTTTTAAGCCACTGAAATTTTGGGGTTTTTGTTACTGCAGCATAGTTTATCCTGATTAATATACCTATGTAATATACTATATATGGTATTCATATACCATAGTGAGAGGCAGTGTCAAGTGGAGATTAAGAAGATAGATTCTCCAAGTTCAGAATTTAGATCTACCACTTATTAGTTGCATGGTTTACAAATCACTTAACCTCTCAGCATCTCGTAATCCTCATACATAAACTAGGGGATAATAACTCTACCTTGCAGGTTGTTGTAAGCTGTCAATCATTTAATACAGGTAATGGGCTTGACACAGTGCCTAGTTTAATAAGTAATTAATTATGTTTGCCACAATGATGATAATGATGATAATAATAAAACTGAGATTTAGAAAAACATTAGAAAGCAGCCCAAGATCATACCTCTGCAGCTTGGGACTGAAATAAAAGTCTAGCAAATATAAGACCTGTGATTTATTTGTGATTTATCCACTACATTGCATTTTCAAAGCATGTGGCTGAGAGTGAAAGCAGGATAATAAAAAACACATGACTATAGCTTCCCAGGTGGTGCTAGTGGTAAAGAATCAGGTTGCCAATGCAGGAAACAGAAGAGACGCATGTTCAATGCCTGAGTCAGGAAGATCCCCTGGAGAAGAAAACGGCAACTCATTCCAGTATTTTTGCCTCAAAAATTCCATGAACAGAGGAGCCTAGCAGACTACAGTCCAAGGGGTCACAAAGAGTAGGACATGACTGAGCACATACACACTCAAATCCCCCCAGCAGAACCTTCAGATGGGGTTAGATGGAGACAGCATTAAATAAGCCGCAAAACACAGAAAAGAGCACATGCCAAACACTTGTCTAGGGTGGAACAAAGGTGTGATATTTTTCTTTCTCTGCTGCTTCAGTTGTGAGTAGATCTCCCAGGCAACACTTCTACAGATGTTTGAGCACACAATTCTGTCTCTGTAACCTATATACAAATAGAATTGTAGTGATTCCTAAAAGGCAAGTTAGGAATCAACTTGTTCTAACCAAGACCATTTCCCTCCAACTCATCTGACGGTTTTGTATATTTCTTTTTTGATCTTTATTTCTAACTAACATTTTCATGCGAAAGAGACCATCAGCTATAAGTTTCTCTACCCTATTATTAAATTCCAAAATCATACAGATAAGCAAGTTCAAACACTATCTTATAGGAAGGAATTCTGAGATGAAGAGAGATTTGGAGGACCTGCCCTGAGTCCCAGGATCTCTCTGCAGAGCCACAGTACAGTTTTCCCCACTTTGGAAAGTACCTGATTGGCATTCAGGAGACCTTTGTCCTTATGTTCCCAGGATACCTCATCTTTACCAGATGTGACAGCTCATGGATGCTTCACTTTTCTAAGACTCTGTTTCATCATTTATATGTGGGGATAATATACTTGCCCTGCATTCTTTATTTCATTGTGGAATGTTTAAGTTAACTTAGAAAATGGAAGGTGATTGACTCCAGAAAAGCAGTTAATGATCTGCTAGCAAATATTTAAACCTATTGAAGCAGTTCTAAATGTAAAGAATGCTTTAATAAACAAAGACTCCTATGACAATGAGAAGAATCATTTCCTCAAAGACACATTACTTGATAAATACAGAGTTTCATGTACTGTGTGTATTTGTGTTGGGGTGGGAGTGTCTTCACATGGGAGAAAAGGAGTAAGTTTGTTGGTTTGTTGGTTGGTTGGTTTTATCTAAGGCTACCGCTCAGTATAAAATAAGGAGCTGCTTTGCTCTGAAAATTCAGCAGCATTCACGAGGAGCATTTGTTGCTTGCAAGTGCCTTCCAAAGGCTTTGAAGAAACCACTGAATTTTTTATCAGCTCCCTGACTCTGAAACTTTTCTTCTAATCTAATGATTTCTGGTGATCAGGGGCTATTGATGTAGTAAATGTTTGATCTACATATAATTTTGAAATATTCTTTAAATTCTTTGAAAAATTCTTTAAATTCTACAAAACACTGACCTGCACTCTCATGCAAATTCCTAGGGACTACAGGTGGAGTCAAAATATACAGACTTTCAACAAAGATTATTTTCACTGATATTGCTCTCCAATACCCTACTATAGACAGTTCAAACATTGAGATATACCAATTAGGGGTTTAAATTTAGCATTTGGATTCAAAAGAGAAAACTGAAGTTAGCATACAATTTTTAGTAATCGAGATACATACACATCAGTGGGTTTAATGCATGCTCCTTGGATTCCTTACATACTCAAACAACATTCTCAAACCAAGAAACATTAAGTGGTTTGGTATGAGAGTAAAAACTTAAATGACTGCACAAGGAAGGAATTAGAAAACATCCTGCAGTTGATTTAACACAGCAGTTTTTCTTGCATTTCAATGCATATAGGCATCTGTGGAAACGTGTGTGTGTGTCAAAATACTGGATGTGCATATTATAAGTTGCAGTTAAGTGGCATCTCTTTTTGAGCCTCCTGGTCCCACTGCCATGGTCCTGGTTTAAATATTCAACATATCTCTTTATTATTGAACCAAACACCTAAACCATCACCCCACTTTCAATCCTTCTCTTCTGAAACCCATTCCATAGTGTTCATAATCAGTCTAATCACCTCTAGGTGTCAGGTACTATTCCAAGGACTAGGAATACAGCTGGGAAAAACACTGACCAGGTCACCTATACTAAGAATCTTACTAAAGAATCAAGGAAAGGAAAAAGATATTAAACATGTAAGCAAATAAATACTCAAGATAATTATCACAATAATAACTGCTCAGAAGAAAATGAAATAGGGTAATAGATGCTGCTAGCCACTCTAGCTAAAGCTGTGTGGTGACCATTGGGAAGTGCACACCTCCTAGAGAAAAAAGCAAATGTGAAAACTATGAGACAAAAGTAAGCCTGGAGCATGCAAGAGAGCATTTTAAAAAGATAACTGGTACACAGTGAGGAGAGTGTGCAGATGAAGTCAGAGAGACAGACAAGGGCAAGATGTATAGGGCCCTATTAACCATCATGAGGAGTTGGGTTTATAAAACAAAAGTTTCATTACAATACATTGAGAAGACTCTGAGAATGACAATAAAAGAGTGACCCTATTTGTGCTTTAAAAAGGTCACTCAAGGGAGAGGGTTCAAGATGGTGGTGTAAGAAGATCCTAAACTCATCTCCTACCATGGATGCAGCAAGTCTGCAACTAAATATGAAATAATTCCCTCAGAAAAGGATCTGAAAACTAGATGAATATAACCTCCACTTGTTTCATCACAAGTATAGTCATGGAATGGTGTGTAAAAAAGATAAAGCTTTGAAATGTATTCAAACTTAAGTTATTACCAACTTAAAACAGGATAGTGCTTACATACAGTGTTATATGTGAACCTCCCAGTAATCACAAGGAAAAAACTTACAGTAAAAAGAGGAAAAAAATGATCAGAGAATCTAAACATAACACTAAAGAAGACCACCAAACACAATATAAAAGAGAAAGAGAAT